TAATGTGAAACTACTTCATTCAAAACCATATTAAAAACTGTAAATAAATTTAGCCACCTTAAGTCAACTCTGCAGACATCTACAGGTGTGCCTGGCCTATGCTGGCAGAATCCATATACTTTGTGCTAAGAAACAATTTCATAATCAAGCTAATGAATATCCCAGATCTCTTTCTACTGGTATCAGAAATATTATTGTCCTACAATATCCATCAGTAATTATTCACAACAGTATCCATAAAGCCATCTAGGTACCTTAAATACAAACAGATTTTGTTTGGCACATTGAAACAAACAAACAAAAATCCTAAAAAGTAGAGAATAGATTATATACATATATATATATATATGCGTATTGGATATTCATGTGCTGTAGAAAGCTGTGGTTCCGTATGCTATATTTTGGAAAGATAAATTTTTTTACAGCCATGCTGTAATGAATACTGTATTAAGCAGGGGAAAAAAAAAAGAAAAAGAAAAAAAGCACATACTTCTTTTTTAAACTGTGAGTATGGGTTTCTTTCTTCCTAACCTAAACTCTGCCTACTGTTTACTCCTGATGTCTGAAATGACACTCAGACAAGTAATTCTTGTGCTAGCCAGCCTCCTTCTTCCTTTAGAAGAAACACAACTGTTTATAACCAAAATTGCATATTATGACACATCCATCTTGCACTGGTTGTCAGTGCAGGGCTTTCTTTGCCTTCTCTCAGGTGTCACCATGAGAGCTTTGGTATTGTCTTCAACTTCTCCCCTTCCATTCATTACCTTTATGTTTCATTCAGTAATTGAAGTCTATGAAAGTATACCTAGACAAACCGAGAACTGTCTCTAACCAAATCTTGTAGGTTTGTGAGTTAAATCGTCGAAGACAAGCAGAGAACGGAAATGAGTTTAGGCCATAAAGTTGCAAAGATTTATGTATGAACTAACCTGAAGCTCTGTGAATAGTCCTGTTGACTTCAGAGGGATTACTTATAGTCTGTGAAGTCAAGCAATCTGCGTAAGTGATTGCAAAATTGAACCTTAGATAGACTGTAATTGGATTTTGAAAAAGGCTCAGAAATTGAATACACAGCTATAAATCACACATCCTGGAAGAGTTATAAATCACACAAAAAGAATGTTTGAAATATAATTATTTTTCTTAGTAGCTCAGCTGTGTATGGACTAATGAATAGAAGAAGATTATTTTTAAATTATCACAGATTATTAAATGTAAAGTCCCTGAAGGATGTTGTGTAAACCAAAAGATATGAATCTTTGAAGGCACCCTTTTATTTACTTTCTTGTTACAACTCCAGCTATGATAAGTGAGCTACCTGCATGACAAAGAGAAAGGAAGTTTATAAAATATTAAAGCCAGGTTAAGATCAAAGATATCTCCTACAAATATGCCTAATAATTAGGGTAGAATTAATATAAAATGAGTGCAGTTATTACCAGCCATATTGTGCCACACATTTGGAGAGGAGATGTACTCTGTTTTAATTTGCCGTCTCTTTCACTGCATTGCTTGGCCAAAGCCTCCTGATAACAAAAACAAAAAAAAAAAACCAAAAAAAAATTGTAGCCATTGGTCAAAATGCTTGTAACAAATCTTGTTTTAAATTGAAGCTATTTATTCAGAAAGCAATCTACTCCTGCAGCAGTAATCAATGTGTTTTCCCTTGGAGTAGAACTGTTTCTGTGCTACTGGAGGACTATTGTTAATTGCCTGTAACTAAATGATTGCTGTGCTTCTGGATGTAACTCCCTGGCACTTGCTCACTTGTGTTTAACAGAATGCCTGTCCCCCTAAGGGTTAGCCAAGTAATTTTCCTCTACTATTTTCTACATTCAGCCTCAGCTCCTTAAGGAGGGCCAGGTCTGTAATTCGAGCAACGTTAACACAGAAGCTAAGTAGATTTTAAAAGCTTTGCACTTTTCCTCTCTCCTCTCTGATGTGGAATTGTGCTGAAATTGAATCTTTTTAGCATGGAGCCACTACAGGAAATCTGAATTTTAGCAGGAAAAACAGCTCACACTTCAAGGGGGTGTAATGCCTGCTGCAGCAACTGCGCTGAAATCGCAATGCAAAAGGCAGCAGAAAGCAGCAGAAATGTTATTGTGAAAGTGGCCTTGTACTCTAACCTTGCTGCTATGCTTTAACTTAGCTTTAACAGTTTACTACGCCATTCTTGACATATGTATCCCCAGCACCCTTGGTGTCCGCAGAGCGCCTTTCAGGAGCAACCCCTCCTACCAGGGGGCCAGACGTACCCTCCCCAGTTCTCATGGGGAAAACCAAGGCACAGAAATGTGACATGGCTTCAGTCACCTGAGGGGCTGACAGCTGAGACAGAACCGAGCCTTCTGCTCCTCACACCTTCAGTTCAGCACAGCACAGGGTAACGCAGTTCACACAGTCCCTGCAGCAGCTCAGAGCCAGCCAGTGCCCTCACAGGATGGTTGAGCATCCTGCAGAAACACTAAGTCAAGGCCTGAAAGCAGGCAGCTTGATGTGTCCCTGTGCCCAGGCCAATCTGTCCTGCCTTCCACAGTGCTGCACAGGTGTGGCTGTCCCACTTCCAGCACTTTGGAGGTTAGCTCCAGCATTTGCAGGGCTGGGTGTAAGAGTCCATCAGTCTGCCAGGCTAATCGCTGCTCCTCTCTGCCTCTGGACCCCAACAAGCAGCACCCTAGGCAGAGAGTGAATGTGTGCTGATAGATGTTGTCCAGCACAGAGGAAAATAGAAGCTTGCTATGCCAGATGGATAGACCATGAAACTTACTTTGCACCCAAATCTGTTTAAGAAAGAAGCACCTTATCCTTGCACTCATAAGTGATCATGATAGGCTCGGTAGCAGCATAAAAAAGCAATTTCTGTTACATTTCAGGGTGACTTAGAGAATTTTATTGTTTGCTTTGGTTGCCTAATTTAGGACCATTTCTATGTGCTCAGATAGATTTTATTGAAGCAAAAATATAGGCATAATCTTGAATTATTTTATGGGGGAAAAGATAACTAAGAGGGACTCTCTGATGGCAAAAGTCATGCCATGCGTTAGTCTGATTTCATGTACAGTGACAGAGAACAGATGACTACCTGTAGGTTTTTTTTCCATTTAATCTCCAAATCATTAATTTAGGAAAAGCTTTTGTTTTCCAGTTGTAAAGTTTTTCCTTGCCTTTAGTGAGTCATAACAGCAGGCACATAAATGAAGCATTTTGTGCCTAGCAACCCAAAATATCAAAGCCTTTCTTCAAGTTACCATTGAACAGCTGCATCACCTGCAGTATAAAATGATATACAGGGTATAGTAAGCCAGTGCAAAACAATTTCCATTTATATTCTAAAATACTGTGTTACTTGTCTATGTAAACAATTTTTTGTTGGGTGTTTTTAATAGCATTCCCCTCTCTGGACCAGAAAATTATTGAAAGTCTGAAATAACCATGCTGGCTTTAAAAATATCTAACACAAAAGAGTTTTCAGCACAGTTTTGGAGAGAATGACATGGAATATAAATGCCTTTTTATTTTATTTTATTACAGTTTTAGTGCCTTCTAGAGAGCTATGAAATCTTCTTACAGTTGCCTCAAAATAATAAAAAAGTGTATGATTCTCAGTAGACACAGTCAAAATAAATGGAATTGTCACTTTTCTCTCTAACCTTTTATTTCTCTAATTGAATTGTACTGTGCTGGACTAACATATCTACATAACCACACACACACACACACAGAAAAAATTGCATTGGGCTACCCTGCTTCACTCAGACAAATGCTGCCCACCAGGAGAGGATACTATGAAAATAACATGTAACTGAGCTTTCTCCAGCACAGATTTTTATGAAGCAAACTCTGTACCGTATTTCCAAGGTTCAACTTCTTGGCATTCCTCAAAACTAAGTGATATTGGAAAAATATGGGTGATCTAAGATATGCCATTTATTACTCATTAAGTTGCAACATTGTTATTAGAACTCTTCTTCCTCTCACCCTTCTTTTTTAACATTGCCAGTTTTCAGTCAATAAGCAAATGAAAAATAACAGCAAAATGGATGCCGTGTAACCATGTGAGCTTCCTCGAGCATGCAGTGGTTAAAACTGGAGGGTGAAAGCTCATGATAGCATATTACTTAGCATTGATAAGTGGCCCCACTGAGGATCCTGATGGTGGTAAACAGTCGTGGCCACATGGGACAGAGTCCCTATCCTCAGGAATGGAGCTATATGGTGAGGATCTCAGTCCATCATGTGAGTCTCCAGGGGCAGAGGGCAGCAAAGACACACGGGGGTCACAGTCTGAATAGGAAAGTCAGAACAGACAAAACAGGATTGTTTGCTGTGACTACACATAAGCCAACCCCACTGGGGGAAAGGGGAGAATAAAAATGAACTGCAGATCATTAGGACACTGTGTCAAAGATGTTAACACATAACTGAGATGCGAGGCTTTGGGGTTCCTTCGATAATTTGTCTTCACATCTCTCAACATTTGGGGGTTTTTAAGAAAAGTTTGTTTTTATTTAAAAAAAAAAAATCCTTAGTGTTATCTAGTAGACTGAAGCTCATCTTATCTGTGTGTGGAATAAAGGAGGAGCTGTGTTTGCACTACAGTCCCCAAAAAAAGAAACATTCACCTCTGCTTTCATTGTAAGTGGAATGTCAACATTTATCTGTGTAAAGCAAACTGTAACCTATCTACAGAGAGAGAGAAGGAAGAGTTATCAAGTATCTCTTATATATATTGACATACTCATACAAACACACACACACATCCCCAGCAATTGTTATTTTTCACGTGAGAAATTCAGATGGTGTGAAGAACTATTTTATTAAAGAAAAAAAAATATATTAATTGCGTATTTATTCAAGGGCTTTATAACAAAAAAATACATAAATAAACCATCATTCATTATTTTATTTTAATGTTTAACATAAGTACAAGGTCTGCTGGTAACCTTTCTCTGATTTGGAATGTGTTTGTTATTGCGTTTTGTAATTCTTTGCAGAGCTGATGTACACAGTTGAGCTTGCTGGTGGGCTTGGTGCTATTCTGCTGCTGCTTGTTTGTTTAGTCACTATCTACAAGTGTTACAAGATAGAGATTATGCTCTTCTACAGGAATCATTTTGGAGCTGAAGAACTAGATGGAGGTAAGGCAGCTTCTTAGCACATTTCCTGCTTTCTAAATATGCCTGTCTTTTATTTCTCTCCACCAAGGCCCAAATTTCATTTCAGTTCAAGATGCGTTAACAACTGCAATTTTTATTTCTGACTGCATTAGGCACTGACTTGAATATGCCTTCCTCATACCGGTCATCGGCAGCAGTGATTGCTGAGCTGATGTAGATGCTGCTCTCTGGAGCTCCAAAAGACACCTATGTCTTTTAGTTTTGTATTCGCGACACTGAATGTAAATTGCCAACATTGATGCATTAAAGATTTTCACTTTCTGTCAGTACTGAAAGCCAACTTCACTTCTCCATAAGCTAGGGAGCATCTTCCCTAATTGTATTCGCCAAATAGGTAGAAGTTGAAGCGAATCTCAATTTACTGCCTGTTTAAACTGATCAGTTTCAATAAACTGTACTGTACCGAGTGTTTAGGAATGTACCCAGCCGTTCTATTTCTCGAGTTCATTTACTTAATCGCTGAGAGAGCAGCTAATGGTCATTAAAGTTATTCTGTGATTCAAGGACAACCAGCCTAAACAAAAGTAATCCTCAATGTATGTACCAGCTTGTGTCAAATGTATACACATATTTTCTTTCCTTCTCCTTTTAAGCACTGAAGAAAAAGGTTGCCTTTGTCTTTAGCCCTACTAATCAAAACTGCTGTTGAACAGCAAACTGGGTTGAGCTGCAGGCTCTGATTAATTAGGTTTGGTTTCTTGGGTCAGAGTTCCTGATGTTTTGTGCTATCACTGTATCTTTGGTGACAGGACCTTCTTTTTTGCTGAAATACTAATAAAAGCTATTTTACAGTTCAAGTTAATAGCCCATGGGCAGAAGCCACTGTGTCATATTAAAAATAAATAAGCACTGGCCAAATCTGTCACCAGTAAGGGAGAAGAGTGGCAGCAGAATTAGAGGTGCTTACATAAGGGAAAGACTTCCATAATGAGATCACTAGGGAATGACCCACTTCTGCTTCCCATATAAAAATGCACAAAGATTCAGAATAGAAAATATTCAGAACAACAAGCATGAGAACAGTAGAACATTTTGTATCCTTCTACTGAGTTTACAAAAAGGATGCATTAGTATAACAGCTCAGTGGGGGAAAAAATCAGGTTATTGTACTTATTTCACAGAGGAGGAAACTGAGGCCCAGAGGGACTGTGACTCATGGAGGATTTTGGCAGACAGTTTTGTTTTGTTTTTTTTCTAGGAGCTGAGATCCTCTCTTCTCCACAAAGTAGTCCCTAGTTTAAATGGGCATGCTTACTTGCATGAATTGTGTGAATTTAATAATGGTCATATTGTATTATAGACAGTTTAATTTATAATTGTTTAAATGAAAGCAAGTTAATGTTTTCTCTCTCATTATCAGTAATTCTTACTTTTACAGCTGTGATTTATTTTTATCTAAAATCATTCCAATTTGTTTGCAAACAGATGTTTGCTACCAGGTGTTACATGCTTGCCTCTCTCTCCTCCCATCCCAAACACTGGTCACCTGGGAACAACAATACTTTTATCACACATTTTAAACAATAAAAAGTGACCTCTAAAGGATGTTGTTCTGGGATTCAGAAGGAGAAAAACCAATATCCATTCACTTTATCCTTCTGAGCAAAATTCATTGTTAGAGAAGATAAAACATGGATTCCCCTCAGATGATGAATGCAAACACTGATAGTTTGGGTGTTTAACCACAGTAATAAGAAAAAGACTACTTGCAGATACCGAGTGGAAACTTGCAGCTTCTACTGTATTCATATACTAGCAACACCAATAAAACCCATTGTGCCAATGAAGTTACTGCAACTGGACTTTTTACTCTGTCTCTTTCACTTACACTCTTGCAAAAGCAAGAAGTCAGACAGTAAATGCCCCACAGAAGACCAAGCCATGGCTTCTGCAGAAATAAATTGCGGACATACGTTCAGATCCTCTCCTTTGGCATAGTTTGTTACTGACAGACAGAAAATGCTGAACTCTTAAAATCTTCTAACCGCATCTCCTGCAGTGCAACAGCAGAGCTCCCACATGCTATTCATCATTTACAACATTTTCTGTCATACTTCGGGACAGCATGTAGATAAGCAAACATCAAAATATCACAGGCTTTTTTTTTTTTTTTTTTGTGCACTATCTTGTACCCAGAGAGGATTTGGAACTCTTTAAAAGTGAGGTCCAATTAAAATTTTCAGTTGAAAATCTCTCTTAAAATGCAGCACTTAATTTCTTCCCTGATCAGAGAACAAGCACTTCAGGATGTCAAATCTCATCACAATTCCTCTTTCCTTTCTGAGCCTTAGATACATCAGTTTTTCTCAGGCTACCATGTGCATTTCTGTGTGACGCATGGGTAGATTGTGAGAAATATTTGAAAACAAAGTATTTAACCCTTAGAGCTAATGCAACTTCATTTATTACTTTCTTTAGGGGTACTGCAGATTAAGCAAATAATCACAGCTGCTGATTCCTCATTTCTCTAACTTGCAGCTTTGAATTTCCCATCTTCTCTGTCATCCTGTGGACTATCCTGTTTTTTTCTCTCTCCTGCAAACACTTTAGCTCAGTCTTGCCTTTATTGTCTCCTGGGAACAAGCATTGAAGACCCCTTTCTTGCTGTCATGTTTAACTCTCTGCCTTTCCTACTAAATTGGAATATAATCAAATCCAGCTCACATTTTACTGCTTTTCCTCCCACTCTGTGCCTGAGCTTTCCAGCTACCGGGGAGCTGACTCCACATGGGGGGACTGTGTGACAGACACTGTGTTGCATCCTTCAGTGTGGAGCAACACGATGTGTTGGTGTTTAGTCAGGGAATCTCCCTGTAATCTTACAGATCTCCATGGGAAGTCGAGCACAGGGGCAAAAAAACAGTCTGACCTTTGGCAAAGGAGTATCTTTCTCACCTCACGGTGTTTGGCTTGACCTTCTGTCTGAGAGCTAAAACTCACCCATACCAGTTTGGCAGTCAGAAACTCCCAAATCTGTATAAATGGAGAATTTCAGCTCAAGATCTCTCCACACACCTGGTGGACATGATACCTTGAAGTGCTATGCAAACAAAGAAATGTCCAGTATTATTCTGGAAACAGCAAAATTTACAGAAATAAATACCTCACTAGGAACTTCTGAGGGCTGATGTCAGGCAACATTTTTAGGTTTGCAGCTCTAAACCTGAAAGCTTGTTTTAAAAAGTCTTGTCCATAAAGTGCACTTTAAGGACTAACATGTTATTAGTGAAAGCCACTTTTAAAAGTTATGAGTTCTTCTATTTTGCTGAACATTGAGCTGCAACACAAGAGGTTTTATACCATGTTCATCCTCTGAAGAGTGTTTTAGTCATTGTAACTGCCAAACTGTAGGCAGCTGATAACTAGAAAGCGAGAGCTTTGCTTAGCAGCTGATATGATTACCTTTGCAATGACCCTTGATGCCTTTAGGTCCCATCAGCTGTTTCTACAATGTTGGACAGGAGCTCTCCGTGATGTCCTTGATCTTATTCTCAGCTTTCCTTGCCAAGGAAACCTTGGTGAACTGAGGGAAGGCACAGCCTCTGTGCAGCTGGTGTGCAGACAGGGAAGGCACCTGGGAGCCAGGGCTGTGGAGTTCCTCTGGGTTTCACTTTTTTATTTTTTCCCCTCACATTGCTGAAATAAAACAAACTGCTCCTACTGTGATTAAAATGGATCACTGCTGAGATCTCTAAATTCAGAAAGTCTTGTTTTGATTTGGTACATGACATCTGTAATGGCTGTTTCTTGGCTGTGCTGATTGCACTTTCTTATGAGATGAGTTTCTACAGCTTGCTGAGGGGAAGCAAATCAATGCTCAAATTAGGAGATTGATGAAACAGTTTCTGCTTTGAAGTCTCTGTTGCACCTGGGAGTCCTCAGGTAACAATGATTTTTTTCCTTACTATTATTTAGCTGCAAAAGACTACCAGGGTTCATGGACAGACCTATGGGATTGCCCAGATAATATCTTATTAGCTCCACAAGGCAAGAGCAGGCAAGATATGCTTCTTAGTGGTTTCCTGGGATTCATCCCAGTAAACCTCTTACACAGCAAGGAAAGGCAACACTTTGAGATTTTGACGTTTCAGTGTGACTTAGTTGCTAACTTTCAAATATAACTTCTACCAACGGCTTGGGCACCGCCAGAGCACTTGTGTTAATGATTATGCTATACAGGTATAGCTAGACTGAAACTACTGCTGAAGTTAGACTTTACAATTACAAAATCTTCCCTGGGGACCCACAGAATAAGTTCGCAATAGCAGCCTCACCACTGTGAATGTATTCTTATTGGCTACTGGAAAATTCTGGCAATAAGAAATCCTGCTCTATGAATATTAATTTCAAATTCTATTAAAATAACAATTAGAAAAATGCAGCTTTCAGATTCCTAAATATGACTATTTACAAAAAGGGATTTTCCTCTTATTTAATTAAAATATTATTGTTGGGGAACTGCTTCTCTTAAGTTTTCTTGTTTATGCTATTTATTTACATCTGAAATGCAATTCAAACAGTAAAATCTCAATTTATGTCTCTACTGAATAGGGGATTCTCCAGATGCCATCCTTGAAACCTACTAATTTAAAGAAAAAATCCTGTTTTTTTCTCTCCTTCTATCCAAAGTACCATCCAAAGTACATGTGTAATATACATATATTAAAAATAAAATAACAGTATCACCAAAAACATATTTAGATTCCAAAGTAAAATATTTTTATGGGTTAGAAAGTCCAAATATCAACTAGAAAAAAAAAGAGACTACCTTATATAAATAAATGAAGACTGAAATATCTACTGTTCCTCAACCAGCAGCTCTGGCAAATGGTTCTAAGCATTGAATTTTTCTATCAAAGGCCAAAACACATTGCAGATTTCCAAGGTAGGTGAGATGAATGCAGCATATTGGCATCTGATTTCAAGAATCTTAGATCAAAAGCCTGATTCCAATCCATTTC